AATAGGTCTACAATAGGGTGGTCGCTGGTCGCGTTGGACAGGTGGTCGCTATAGCCAGTGTCTTTAACGTGTAAATTGTGAAGGGACTGTACTGAGGTGGTCGCTATGAGCAGGTGTCCGCTCTGCACAGGTGGTCGTTAACACAGGTTTGACTGTATAATACTTTTAATTTTTGTTTTTTGTGTGTTTCTATTGGAAATGTGCTTCTATGCAAGTATATCTATTCAGTATTTCGAGTTTTTTTTTTCTGGCCAGATGATATCAAACACTATTATTTATGAGCAAACAAACAGGAGATGACTAATTTCACATCACATAGAAGGGTACTTCGTAACAAAGAAATTTTTAAAATTTTAAAGATAGTGACGTAACCCCAACACGCCACAGTGAACTTTAGTACACAAGTTTCAAAATTGTCCAGCCTATTAATATCATTAATAAAACAAACATTATGAAAGTTACCTATTACTTTGAACTATTACAATGTCTTTAAAATGACATTTTCTGAACTTTTGTGCTAATGCCAGACCATCCCTACATTTTACTCATTTATGCGGATTTCACTTCTTAGTGAAAATAGCAAAATTAAAACTATAAATGAATTAACAGTTTTATGAAATTGTACATGTGCGTTTGAATACATAGCAAACAAAAGAAAATGCCAACATAATGGTTGGCATCAACTAGTGACAGTGACAATACATGGGTACACACCCAAAGCAATTGTTTCCAATGAAAGGAACTTCAGTGAAAAACGTGCAAGTAATCTATACCTCGAAACAAAGAATAAAAATCCTGTTATAGGGTCACTGAAATCAACCTTCAATTCATAGTTTCATGTTGCACAAATTGTAAATTGATCGTAAAACACTTAAATTGTCAAAATCTAATTTACCACAAGTCAAGAAAAATTTCAAAAATTTTTAAAAAGTGAATCTGCATCATTTCTCTCCCAATTTGATCGAACATTTTCTTATGAAAAAGATTATGCAAGATGGAAAAAAAGAAAATATTTATTTTCCGTTTTTTTAGAAATGTCTTGCCTCTGAGGATACTTCATTGTTTTTGCAAGTATATTTAAAGAGTGAATGGTCTACATGAAATACTTTAATAAATGCATTAATTATTTTAATTTCATAATTTTGATAATAAATAAATTTCTCTTAGCTAAATCCACATGAATATGTAGTTTAAAAATAGAAATTGTTTCCCAGCCAAGTTTGTGCTCTCAGTGAAAATCAACAAAATAGTGAAATTAAATAATTTACAGTAGTATCGTACGTAAATTTCTCTCTGCTGGAGTCAATAATCATAGTCAGAAAATATCTTCTGTGATGTCAAAATACTGAAATATTAATATATGTTTCATAAAAACGGACAATACCTTTGAAGTAATGTAAAATGACAAATGACCCAAACTGAATCAGGATACTAGAAGCAAGTCAGCATCAGCAATAACAATTTGATTACTGACATAGTGGTCCAGTATGATCAGCAGCAAAGCACAAAAAAAGCTTCGACAACTTATCAATTGAGAATGAATGTATCCATTTGTATTCATTATGATGAAATAGACAACAACAAAACGCGTGTAAAATGCATTTTCCACACTGAACGTCAATATGCACTGGGACAAGTGTTTCCTGTGTTCCCAAAAACTGAAGCGATAGTCATCTCACCAAGTAATGTTCACCGTGGGTCTCATGCAGAGAATACAACGCATGTAAAATGCATTTTTAACACTAAATTGTCTCCAAAGAAGACTTAGAGCAAAAATATTACCAGTACCAATCCTATTGATTTTTTGGATTAACACCTTTTTCCTCTGCACTAATGCTATTAAATTCTTCTTGTTCTGACTTCCTGATTGGTACATACCAGAGAATTTGGACAAAACTACAATAAGAACTTTGTTGCTTCTAAAAAATGTTAAACCAATCAAATATCACTTTGTACTACTTTAAAGTCTGAACTATAATTTTTTTTTTATATCCACCTGGAAGCAAAGAAACTTTACAACACACTTCCCACTACATAACGTAAATTTTGGAAACTTACTACTACTGTAAAATACTTTATTTTAGCTGGAATTAATTTTCGCTGTAATGGCTTTTTGTATGGAATTTATTTTCACTGATTTTTGACGACTTGAATGTGAAAACAATTATATTCGCTAGATTTTATTTTTCACTGAATCATGCCTATAGCGAAAATTAATTCCAAGCGAGAATAAAATATTTTACAGTATTCTGAAAGCGCTGGAAATTCAAATTGACCAATCCAGAAACAGTATGATGACATCATCATAATATTAACGAGTTAGTTCATATTCATGAATTAGTAATAGTTGCGCATGTATCCATTTGGGACATGTAGTGACTTATAAACTACCAAACACAATTAGACCGGAACAGAACTTGAGCAATGAATGTAAGCGTTACACTTGATAAGAACTGAGCTCAATTGCTGGATATATGATAAACCCACACAGGGCCTTTAACACAATAGTACATTGGTAGTTATTATACTGGGCATTTTGAAAAATTCCTAAATGAAATCCTGTGATTTTGTTGTATACTACAATCAGTAATTGAAAAATCGCAATATATAGTTATTTCCACTTGATTGTATTTTTGCCAAACTTGTTTACAAGTGAATTACAGAAATAATATTTAGTGTATTCTTTTGTTTAGAAATTTCTGAAAGTTGGTCTCAACTGTTGCATGTGCCAATGGTCTTGTCTGTGTAGCCATAATTATTCTGGAATTGATTTTCACAATCATTATATGCAAATATTAAATGTGAACCCACACACACACAAACCAAAAGTATAACTTTTTTTAATTTGAGATAAAATGTAAACAAAGACATGTGCTCTTTTTTCACATGGTTTCTCTACTTCCGCCTTTTAGGGGTGGTGGGTGTCATCTTTCTTTGAATCCTGTCTCATAGTACCCTTACTGCCTCCCTCATCTCTGCCCCCTCCCTTTTTGTTTTATGCTGGCGTCACATGACCTTAGCCAAAACACCTTCTGGATTGTTCTATTTTTAGCAGGCCCAATGAACAATGAAATTGTACGGCAGTCATCCGATGGGAACACGATGGTTTTCACCTAAATTTCAGATGAAGCATAGTAGGTTGCCTCGTAACGATAGTTACAGCGATTTCACGTGAACAGTAACCGGCAATCACCGAACGATCCACTGCATATTGACCCAAAGAAGAGAATCAAGCACGCACGAGTTGTGTTTATTTACAATTTGAAAATACCCGTTCTGGGGCCTCTATTCCCAGACTCCGGGCCTCGTCTCTGCTATAGCGCGCTTAAAACAAACTCAAAAGGAGAAAATTTGCTCGTACCACGCGTGTACGCACGTTTTCTGATGTTTACAGTCGTCTCCAGGTGATCTAGTTTGGTATTGCGGTGAATTTGGGCGACAGACTGAACACGCAGTACGGCGAACGTTTAATTGGTAATTCACTGTGTCAATATCCACAGTGTTGCGTACATTATCGAAATAGCATCATTTTGATTTGAACTTTTTTTGTTTGAAAATCGCCCCCAAATGTTGACACCTATACGCAAGTGAAGGCGATCGCAGGAGTTCTCAACTGTTATGATGCTGATATTGTATGTGAGTATTGGTCTTAATTGTAGTATTGATAAATTTTAGACTTACAATTTTCATACGTTCTTCCTTGGGTTTGTCATCCGTACTCCCATTGTCTATCGCCGATGCCGCCGAAGATGTAGCACCGTTGCCACGTCCCGAATACAGCCCGGATTTGGACTTTTTACCCATTCGTCCGGCTTCATCCACTGTCTTTCTCTTTCCCCTTGGCATTTTCAGACCAATCTAGCCAGTCACTGTTCGTATTTCAGCTGCAAACGGTGTCACACAAACCTAGCTCTGGGAATGGACAAAGCCTTGATTGATTGAAAGCCGCGAAATGGTCACATGTTAATTTCCGTGTCGTCATGAATTATTCATATCTCGTCTTGAAGGAGGGCGCTAGTTGACCCTGGCCATTTAAATTTGGGGAACCCAGGTGGAATTGAATGGTACGTCGTGATTAATGTTCCTGCGCCTTTTGTATGTTTTCCGTCAGTAAGCTAAAGTTGTTGGCACGTTATATTAGGTAATAATCCCCGAGCAATATAAACTGACTGGTAAATTGGTAATTATGGTAAAGTTCGCAGCGTGGTCTCCAATCTTTACAGAGCTTCCAAAACAACATGGCATGAGTATGTGTTCGTGAAGATGAACCTCATACCTTTGAGTTTAATGACCTTTAAAACTTGAACTGAAATACTGCAGTTTAGTGGAAGGGCACTACAAGTATCTAGCTTATATCTACTTGAATTCTCATATATAGTATATTCATGCACCCACTTTGCAAAACTGGAATCTGCAACAAAAAAGAATAATGTGAACTTTTCACAATTCCTCAGTTTAAAGCTACACTGTTAGATCATTCTTAAAGGTTTTGAAATTTGAAATGACGATGAATGAATGATTTTCTGCTTGATAATTAATCAGGGGCGGTTTCTGGTTTTTGTTATAGCCCATGAAAATTCTTACCATTGCTTGTACTTCCTTGCAAAACTGACCACCGAATGGGTGAAAGAGGGTGTCGCAGCAAATAGCTCCATGATGCGACTTGCCTGTGAATTGCATCATGATGCTGAGCGCGTGGTACCTGGTTGCAACCTTCCACCAGCAGAGACTGTACAGGCGGGCGTCAAGGCTGGCGACCCCCTGGCTGGAGTCAGCAGAAAGACTCACAACCCCAGATGGAAAGACAGCGTGGGTACCCGTGTAAAGTTTTCTTGGTCTGTGGTGGAAACCCCCAAATTGAAAAGCAGGGTGATGCGTTGCAGGAGATGGGGCTTTACATGAAGAATGAAACAAACTGATAATTTATCAAATGTTAGACCAAACATCGAGAAAACTTGCGCAGCAAATGCAGACATAACGAACACAGTGTAAAAAAAAAAACAAGCTAAGGAAACCAATAATTATACAAAGTCTATCGCAATAAGATAAAACAAAGCATGGTTAGACTAATAAAACGTCAAACTAAATACACATAAAAATGGATAGAAATGACAAATCTAGTGATGAAGATACAGTTAATAGCAGAGCAGTCAGCAATTGGACAAGTGACCCGGAACTGAGCGGATGATGCTGGGGGTATGCGAGTGTAGGTCTGGTAGGCGTCCCTGCACCATCTGCCCAGTGCCTTGATCAACCAGTCTGGAAGATTTGCGTCGGCAGCTGTTGTGGTTGCACCACTGCAGAAACTGAGTAGTGTAACGGTTAACATCTGGTACAGATGCGCAAGTGAGAAGGTCTTGATTGTGGTTGCTAACAGCTTGCCGCATGAGGAATGTACTGTTGGTGAAATGGAATGCAGGTAGGTGAGCAGCAGAGCTATGTAATGCTCTGCATGTCTGGTATACCTGCACAGCGCAGACCGATGACTGCGAGGGTGCGATGGTGATGTTACATCCCCAGAGGAATGGGTCTGTCTTGGAAACCCAGAGTGTGACAACGAGATCTGTGTTCTGCCGTCAGAAAAGTGCGTTGTGGATCAGAGGTGGTTGAAGTGGGTGCAACAAATTCGCTGACTCTCAAGAAGCCGAAGAACGCCAGTGTGAAGGCAGACCACAACATAGCTTTGTCAAGGTTGCAAATAGTGGGATGGTTCGCGATGGTGTCCTTAAGAATTCGCATTAATCCAATGGTGATTGGGAGTTTTACACGATTTGGAATGTTGTGATGTCTTTTAATGCCTTGCATAGTGAAATGAAGCAGCAGGTCATAAAAATTAGATAATACATTGTATAGCCTTTTATTAAAAATTCTTGGTCACGTGATAGCTCAATTTTTTTTAGTTTTTTTCTCTAATTTTTGGCTTTATTACGTATTAGTCATTGACCTCCCCCTCCCAAAAAGTTTTTCTTCTCGTTCAAGGGTAAATTGAAAATGATGTGATAAAGCATTTATTTTTGTTTATTATTACTATTCAATAAAATACAAACACAATATATGTTTAGGCTCAAGATTTATTAATAAATACTGCTTTCGAAAAATATATACATACATTGTGTTTGTAGTATTTTAGCTAATTTTGTTTTTCAGATTTTAAAATTATTTTAGATTAGTTGTGTTACTTTGTTTCTTTTATTGGAATTTACTCAAGCATTGTTTTTGTGTACGTTCCAAATAAAATACCCTATCCTATCCTACATTAAAGTTTGGTTTGGGTGGACAAAACCTCGTCTGAAACAGAAAACAAATATTCCCTTATTCTGCTATAAGTTATTATACTTATCACCAAAATGAAATTGCCAGAAAAGAATGTGTGTGAGATGCAGCAAAACTTTAGGGTAGGGGTGGGGGTGGGGGTGACTTTGCTTTAATAGTTGGTCAAGACATTTCAGTGTGTACATTGTATATGTCATTGACAATGGCTTTTTTTTTGTTTTTTTGCATTTTAGTGTGGAGTTTATAACACCTCTGATTGTAAATGCCGAAGACTTCAAAGCAATACAACTTTATAAAGATTAGTCTGATTAAATCGTCTGTAGATTTGCAGAAATGCTGTCACTGGATGACGAGATAAGTGGTATTCTGCACCAAACAGAAACATTAATTATGCGCTTGAAGAAAATCAGTGCAGAAGGCACCCCTAAGCTTGTAAAAAAAATTGTTGCAGAACAGAAATTTCTTGAAAGTGTAAGATAAATTTGTTTATGCTTTCTTGTACTATTTGTTTTTTATTCAACTTCTTTTTGATGTTAAAACATTGGTTATTTTCACAGTCAAATTTCCAAATATGAGCAGTCTTTCTAATCTTTAATCTTTCTAATGCATGTATCAGTATGTGGAATATACACTTAACACCAAAATCTAAAACTAATATATTTTTTTTAATTTTTCAGTTAAAAAATTACAGCAGTGATGAGCAAGAGGTCCGACTGAAAAGTAGTAATGTTCACCATTTGGAGTCCGTAGTGGACGCTGCAGAGTCTTTTGAAAATGTTCAGCACATTCTGAGACCATTCCATTATAAAACAAAGGGAGGTCAAAAGGCTAGTTTGGTTGTGGATGTTGTGGCTGGTCTTGGGGCAGCGTGGGTGAAGGTGATCGCTCGGAAAGCTCAGTCACTACATAGAGTATGGATTGGTATGTTCCTTTAACATTGAACTATTTCGCATCAGGTCTGTTTCATAATATTTGTTAGTACTGATTTTAAGTGCATGTTGAACTCTGCATCAGAAAATGAATTCCATCTTTCACAAAGTTTACTATCACACTGTTTACAAATTCTGTTCATGCTGATGGCATTTCACAGTTTCCGGCGATTAGAAAGATCACAATGCTGTAGATCAAGCCAGACAGTACATTATTGAAAAGTAACAACGTGTACATTTTTCTACAAACAACAACAACTTGTATATTTCTCTAATTGAACTTTACAGGTGCTGGTGATTAGGGAGATAGTAATGCCGTAGATCAAGCCAGACAGTACATTATTGAAAAGTAAACAACGTGTACATTTTTCTACAAGCAACAACAACTTGTATATTTCTCTAATTGAACTTTACAGGTGCTGGTGATTACGGAGATCGTAATGTCGTAGATCAAGCCAGACAGTACATTAATGCAAGTAAACAACACCCTGTGCATTTCATTCCCCCTGTTGTTTATTTCACTTTCTATGGTGGGATTACCAAACCAATCGCAGGTAAGTTAATTAACTCACTATCATAAAGGTAGACGCCTACTCATAATTTTTGAGAAAGTTGGATATAAATCGCATGACAATGTTTATTAGTTTTTTATATGAAATCATGGAGCTTTTTTCTCATGACACCATAAAATAGCATTCATTTGTGTGTTACAGTGGCATATTTTAAGGAATCTTTCCTAATATTTTTCAAAAATCACTATTTTTTTTAGAACTCCCTAGAACACAATGTTAAAGAAAAATTGCATGCGTTTACACTTTTTTATAAAATAATACAGGAAAACAAATATTACGCCATCAGTTGCAATTTATAATTTGTCAGCCTATATCACCAGCCTACAATTTGTAATATGGCATAATATATCTGCCACAGGATCCTATGGTAAAATCGTTATAATACTAATAAATTGACCACTATCCACTAAATAAAACTATAATTTTCTCTACCAAGTAACCCCCAATTTTTTTAAAGTCAGAGATTTGATATTGCTTCAGAGTACAATTTATTGCAAAATGAATAAAATCTGGGTATCTGCATTTATGAGTAGGCTTCCACCTCAACTCCTAAATTAATTTTCACTGTGCAAAAATTATTGCAAGTATTATTATAATCTCTTTCTCTGCCTTTCAGACAAACTGAAACGACAGGGTGTTGTTGTGAAAGGTGAAATTGTAGATGTTGATTCCAACATCAATTTTGATGACAAGCCAGAAGATGATGATGATGTTAGTGATGAAGAAACGAAGGAAAGTCTTTCAGTATCACCATCACGACATATTTCCATGACAACCAAACAGGAATGCAGTCACCTAAATTTGGATATCACCACTTTAATAGCGTTGGTGTCTGAGCTAACACATGGAGGGTGTTGGTATGAATTCAAAGAGACTGTTTTGACTGACCAAGCAGTCCAAGAACAACAGGATCCACTTATTCCCAAACTAAATGAATATTTAAAGGGTGAGAACAAAATATCAGTTTTACACAGTGGCAGATGTAATGGTACTCATGTGTCTGGTCAATTGTCTTGGCTAGTGACTGGTCCATGTTGTACTAGTGACTGGTCC